GATCATAGGACAATAACTGAGCATAATGTCAAAGGGATGCAATCATGCCAACAAAATGAATCATCCAAGCAACTCACCAGTAGCGCATGCTGGAAATATCCTCTTTCCTCCATGACGAGTCACTTTTACTAGGACAAGAAGAGAAGAAAATACCCTTATTCTCCTTTGACATTCAGACGTTAATCCCAGAGATTATCGAGATAAGTGTCATGTTCCTAATTGGAGGTACATGAATCTTTTAGTGTCCCCACTAATCCGAAAACAGGGGCCACCAAGAGGGCGAACTTTGAATATTTATTCTTCTTTTCTGCCAAGAGCACAGAACTTTTATTGCTTAAAAGATAATTACAGCATAATTATACTTCAGACATAAAAGTAAAAACAATAGAGGGAAGATGAACAGCAACTTTAACCAAAGAATTAGCTTTATCGTTGGCTTCCCAGTAGACATGTTGAAAAGAAAAAAGATGGTGTCGACAAAGATCAAGAATAATTTTCCCATCAGCTCGACATGTAGAAATACACAATCAACACAGCGAGGAGGCCAAACCACTACGCTATCCTACTACTTCACAAACACTGCAACTGCCAGGCACATTGATAACTACCCCAGCAGGAGTTCATGTGTTGTCTATAAAAGAAAACACAACACACCAGGAAGAGCAAAAAAGGAACATATAAATTGAAACAAATGGAAAGAGCAAATAGGAAACATAAAAGGTCCTTCATATGTGAAAAAGGATTTCTTCCTCTTGTGGAGCTACTTGTAACCGATTAAACAGAGGTACTTCACCCTTCCACAGGTAGATGATCTGAACGTAGTTAACAAGGTATCTTCCTTCCTGTCAGATATTTATTTGTTCTTCTTGTGTTGATATGGACTTTTCTTGTGCATGTTTTTGCATAGTTGTGATTCAATTTAAGAACCACCCACACAGCAAGCCATGAGTATTTTGAAATTCTGAGGTATTGATAAGTAACCTTCTCAACCTAGCAACCATCTTTGAACAAACAAAAATGATTTTGCCTGAGGCACTAAGTATATATAGTATGAACCCCCGACATCAAACTATATGCACTCAAACAAGAAAGCACACACTGTATTGTTACACCCAAATTCTGTCTTTATAACCTGCTAATTTTGTTTCGACCTATGCTCACCAATGGAAAAATGCGGCATCCTTTCATAGTAACATTAAAGGGTGCAGTTGGCACACGGATGCATCCGTAGCTGTAGAAGTAAAGTGTAACTTCAAATTTTATCATTGTCTATAATTTTGATGTAAAATGTTCTTAAGATTATCTCAAAATCTATTTTTATATCTAATTATAAAATTAAAAATTAAAAAATGATTAAAATCAAGTAGATCTATGAACATATGAAAATCTTGAAAATGGACAGTGCAGATAATATGTTGTAAAATACATTATTTTTTAGACTTAAAATCGTTTTATTTTTCATGGTCATACATCTCGATATCGAGATGATCAATCAAAGGGTTTTTCAACATTAAAATTACCTTTTCCAATGGATTTTTGAGGTGCATCCGTAGTTCTACTTTAAAAGGTTGCATCCTTGTATAAACTTTTTCAAACATTAAATTATCATTTGCCCAATCACATGGTTTGGAAGGTGAAAGGACTATAATATTGATGAAAATAATGACATGCATAGCGAGGCCCACTCACTAGACCTCATCGCTGGCCAAAAATGATGATGCACCCAACCTCATAACCGGCCAAAATGATGATGCGACAGCTATAACCTCGACTGCAAAGGTTGTATTATGGAGTCCAAGAGATTTTTTTCGATTTTGAGTAGCACACTTCTAAATGGCCCAATTTCACATTCAATGGCTAGAAAAGTGATTGTGACTTCTATAGACCACGGATAAGGAGTATTATTGCGTATTTTTACATCTAAAAGACAGTTGAGATCACTTAAATTTGTTTTAAGGGCCCTAATTATACAGTGAATGATTCTAAAAGAACCGTTGATACATGATATGCATGATTAGAGTTCTTGATTACAATAATTACAGAAAATACACTCACATCTCAAAAGTAGAAACTAGAAAGGATCCAACTTTTTTGTATGTATCTTTTGCCAAGGGATAGAAAAATGAAGCTGTGTAGAAGATTCACCACTTGGGCATTCGATACCAGAAAGGATGAACTCCTTTTGCCTGAACGTACCACAACATGAATTACTACGCGATGAAAATTATCTGCCAAAAAGAATCATGAAAGGGGCGGAAAGTGATGGAACAAAAGTAAAAAGGCTAGAGAGGAAAGAGAAGCATCAAAACAAAAATATCATCACTAATTTTAAATCCAAAACAGTCGGTGAAGCCGACAGCTAATATTCTTAAAACTACCAAAGAACCAATCCCAAAACTCTCAAATAATCCTTATTCAACCCTAAGATGGGTATAGAAAATATGCTTTTGGAGCCAAATAATCCTTATTTGGCTCTAAGATGGGTATAGAAAATATGCTTTTGGAGCGCATAAAGCATTCCAAGTATATTCTCACTGCAAGCACAGTTCTAGAATTTGCAATTAGTGGGCTATCGGATCTGAAGACCGACAGCTTAAATTACGTTTTTTTTATTTAACATTATTTGAAACTATATGAAAGGAAAATTTTCCGCACAACAAAAAACCCTTTTTTACCCATATTTCTATAACATTCACCCTATCTCAAAAAGTATATATACCATGAGACTATTTATCTTCGTTACAAAGAAATCATAATTACACATAGCCACTAGATATCAAATTGAATAGCTTAGATGCTACGAAGTACAAAAAAAAAAATTGATTTTTTGAATCCGATCAATGACACTAATTTGAAATTTAATGGATGAGAACGATTGTGACCCCCTTGTACCAAAGTAAATAATCTCTTTGTATACCTCATTACACAAAAAGTAAATGATCCCTTCATATGCTTCTTCACTACAAAATCATTCTCAATTCTAATAAAGAGGAATAATCATGTCCCAAAAAAGTTCATTCTCAATTCTAATAAAGAGGAATAATCATGTCCCAACAAAGTTCAGTGTCCCAATCTCGTCATTTTTAATTTTCAAGACCCTAGTCCATTATAATGGCAGCCACCACTCGGAAAAACGTCTTTTTGCAGTGAACAAATCTCCATTCTCACGTATCGGGAATTTTATTCCATAATAATCCACCAATAAATCACACACTGCCACTACGAGAGACAATACTGTCAAATAACACCCATGATTTTAACCACAAAATAGTAGTTTTTCCAACAATACGACCACACGAAAATGCAAAGGACATGGTTTCTATACGGCCAAACCCACATATGTAGGAATGTGAGCCTCTTAATAAATCTATTATTGAGATGGATTTTACGACATTTTTAAGGACACGTAATCTCTAACATAGAGACACGTATCAAAAAAGAAAAATCTCTCACATGAAGATCATGAATATGAAAAATTAAATAATTTTTAAAACCTAAAAATAATAATTCTTCTCAAAAAACATTTGGACAGTTTCGTTGTTTTTAGATGGAACACCTACTTACATCTAGCTTCACACTTTCAGAACCGCATAAGTAGAAATGCAGTCCAGCCACATCAAACAATTTTCCTTATGTAAATCATTCACGGTTCTCGGGGAAACATGACAAATTTCTTTCCACTTAATGACCATTTGACTGTCATTTGTACAATGGAAAAGCTTCATAACACTTTCCCGCCATATGCATCATATATACTCGCCATTGTCATTGACCAATATATTAAAAGCCGACTATTATACAATGGAACCACTAACTGTTTCATCTAAATCCAACTTCTCAAAGTACTTTATTTTTAATCTTTTTTTCTATAAATCTTGACTATGACATTTAGTATATGTCATAATCTCAATGAAAAAGTTTACATAAAGTTACAACCATAAAATGTAGAACTACGGATGCACCTTAAAAATCTAACGGAAAAGGTCATTTTAGTATTTAAAAACTCTAATTAATCATCTCAAAGCCGAATCAAGATGTATAACTACGAACAAAAAAAAACAGGATTTTGAGTCCCAAAAGTGATGCATCTTACCATACATTATCTAAACCGTCCATTTTCAATATTTTCATATGTTTATAGATCTCCTTGATTTTAACCATTTTCGGAGTTTAAAATTTTATAATTAAATATGAAAATAGATTTTGAGATAACCTTAATAATACTTTTACATCTAAATTATATGCTACGATGAAATTTGGAGTGCCTTAAATTGATTGTTTAAGGTTGCAACCTTAAGGAAACCACACTCTAATGTCAATGGGGTAAACCTTAAAAAAATATTAACAAACATTTTTGAAACAAATAACCAAAATAATCTTAAGCCTTTCCAGGGTACATTGATGCTTTTATTTATCAATAATAGTTTGCATATTTTTATAGATGCGAGTTTACAAGAGACGTGGAGGCACCAAATTTGGGGTCAAATGTTTTTTTTTCTTGAGAAATAATTTGGTGTCAAAATGTTTTGTAGTAAATAATTTAAAAATAAAAGTGTTACAACTATAATATTGTGATGGGGGTCATCTCAACAATACATTCAAATCAGACAGCCAAGAGAGATGGGGTAAATAGGAAAAATATATAGTCGGTAAGTATACAATAGGCTATTATAGAAGAGCGTGGGGAATCACTTGCATTTTCGAGAAGAGAAAAAAAATCGAGTTCCTAAACACACAATTGACCATCCAAGTATTGGACACCACTGCTCAATACCACAAGATTATTTTTCAAGGCACAAGATGTCGCAAGGTTGAGGCGGTTGGATCCCCAAAGTTTTCAATCTCTACATGGGGTTTTCCAAGTGGGAGTGAATGGTCGATATGCCCATGCCGGACCGTGTAATCTTACAACTATATGGAGCAACCCTAGGCCACTAACATTCGGCTGGCCTTGATTACAGCATAACCATGCCAGATGACTAACGTTAAAACACATCCCATATTTGAATCCCACCTCTTAACCTCCAAGAAATATACAAGAAATAACTAATTATTTATACAAGACATGCATGGGCACCAATCAGCGGTCCAACCGACAAGTCTGATATATCCCCGATAATTGTGTTGTGTGTGCGCTTTTGACCGCATATACGACTGCAATTGTATACCTCCTCAATACACAAGCTATTCTTAACCACTAAAGATAAATAGATGTACGAACACCAAGACCGCTAAATTTAGACCGTGCATCTCAGTTCTCTCCTCAAAACAGAAATGTACAACATACGAAGACTTCATATTTCCTTGTCATTTTGTACGAGAGGCTCCCTAATGAAGAACCAAAATAATAAAATGTCAAGAAAGAAAACCAATAAAAATAAGATATGCATGAAAAGAAATAAAACCAGAACAAACTAACGCCAGGATCAGCTTGTGTGTGTCTGCATGTGTTATTGTGTGTGTTTGAGAGAGAGAGAGAGTATACTCCAAGCTGCTGCGAGTAATGTAACATCAGGTAGAACGGTAGAAAGATATTGCTGACGAGTAACAAGAAAACCGCCATGAACATATAGAGACAGCTTCCCCTGAACACGTCAAGAAGAAAAGCAGCTCAAACCTTAAGTTCCAATTTGTCCTGCGACATGGAGCATTTCTTGACTCTGGCCATTGTTGGGGGGCTCGCGTCCAAACTTATCCTTTCCAAAAAAGAAAGAAGAAGATGCCCCATCCCAGATATTAGTCTTAAATATATAATTTCACTTACAGGCGACACTACCCAAAGGAATGCACCAAGAACTTTCCTGAATTAGCATCGAAGCAAAGCCCTTCCCCGTCTTTACGAGGTAACACACACCGAGAGAGGGAGAGAGCATGCCATGCCATTGTAGTGCAAAGAAATAAAGGGAGAAAGGGATTCTATACCCATCCCTGCTGACATGCATTTCAAGGGATTGAAACAGCTGTACAAAGAGAGGGAAAGAAGGGAGTTATCAGTGACCAGTTTGGATGCACAAACAGGTGCAAGTATAATATTATATGCTATAATGATCAGTGTGTGCGAACTTGCCATGTGCTCAAAACAATCCAGCCCAAAACCGTGTTGAACTCCACTTCGCAGGAATAACTTTTGCAATCTCCACAGCAATGTTACATGGACAAAGACATGGGCAAACTGTCTACTATGCATCTTGGGTATCTAAAACTTCAGCCTAAAAACCAAGTACGATACTACATGTTCGTGTTATATATATACATACATATATATATATATATATATAAAGAAAAAGTGTATATAAAGTTGCAACCTTAAAATCTAGAATTACAGATGCACCCCAATAATCCATTGGAAAAAGTTGTTTTAATGTTGAAAAACCCTCTAATTGATCATCTCGACAACTAGATGTATGAATATGAAAAAAAAAGATGAGTCCCAAAAATAATGCATCTTGCAACAAATTATGTAAACCGTTCATTTTCAAGGTTTTCATATGTTTATAGATCAGCTTGATTTTAACCATTTTTTAAATTTAAAATTTTATAATTAGATATGAAAATAGATTTTGAGATGATCTTAATAATTTTTTACATCAAACTTACATGTTATGATAAATTTCGGAGGAACGCCTTAATTGGATTATTTAACGTTGCAACCTTATAGAAACCACACCCATATATATATATATATATATATATATATATATATATAGTAGTACGTACTACTACTACGACTACGTACGTACTACGTACGTACGTAGTACGTACGTA